CAGACGCTCAACTGCTGAGCCACCCGGGCCCCTGAAAATCGGCACATTTAAAACAGCGGTTATCAATTAACAAAACAATATAAATAACAAAAAAAAAAATCACTATGCAGGTCCAGCAAAGCCAACCACCTTGCCTAGTGACCCCCTGTTCTGGCAAAGGGGACATGTTGGCCCTGTCTTGGCCCAGGCCAGCTCTGTATTTTGCTGTGCTTTGTGGTCCTGGGCAAACTCCTCCCCTCCTTGGACCACAGATTCCTGGTCTGGGATAGAAGAACCTGATTTGTGGGGCTCCCACCAGTTTGGACAGTGTGTGACTAAGTCCCTCAGGCTCGAGGGAAGATGTGGTTATTATGGAAGCGACTCTTCCCGGGAACCATGCTTCCGGGATTGGATGCAGTGCACTCTGGTGTTTTGTGGGTTCACAATCACAACTGTGTGTGTGTGTGTGTGTGAAGGGATGTGTGTCATCATTTGGAGCTTTGCATGGTGCAGTGTCAATATCATCGTTTTAATAACTTTGCCCTGGAACCTTTCATTGGCTACCCTGGAAGCTGGTGAGAAGCCTTAATTAATTCTCCCAGTGACCTGGGGAGCAAGGGGTCTTCTTCCTAATTGTGGAAACCCAAGCCTAGAGGTGGGAGGTGCCTCAGGCATCTGGGCACCACTGGGAACCCTGACCCAAGTGCTAGTTTCAGGGCAGTGGGGGGGGGGGCGGGGAGGGTGGTGTTTCCTCATTAAACCCATGAGACCAGGATCAGGGTTGGTGCCCATTAGTCTGAGCTGCTGGAAGAGCTGGGAGGGTCCTTTCCACCGGGGTAGGGTAGTGGTGAGGGTAGCTGAGCTCTGGCCACCCCCCTGGGTCTTTTGTCAACGTCACTCTATCTCCTGCTGTCCTGTCAAATCATTGACCCCTGAGCCAACCTGGCCTGTGTTCTCTGCAGTATTCAGAGCCCTCCCCGCCAACATTCTCCTTTTGCAGTGGCCTGGGGGGGGGGGGTGTTGAAAGGAGAGAGGGCAGGGGGAAGAGGAGGCTTTGGGTCTAGAAAACCCCAGCTATGTGTGCACCCGCCTCCTCCCCACCCCACCCGGCTTTTTTCCACCTGTGCCCCAGACTGGATCGGGGTGTGGGTGGCTGTGTGTTTCCCGGCCCCACACGTGAGACCGCGTTCCTGCCACGCGCTCCTCGCCAGGCTTGGGGGAACTGTGTTTCCCGGCTGCTCCCCCTCTCCTCCCCCCACCCCCAGCGTCCCCCGGAGCCGAAGGCGCGGGCCCTTTAAATCCTCCGGGGCGGCGGCGGCGGGCCGGGGATGACATCAGCGGTCGGGCCCGGGGCTCAATGGGAGCCGGCGGGCGCGCGCCGGGCGGGAGCGCGCGAGCCGGCGGCGGGGGCGGGCGGGCAGGAGGGCCCGGAGGAGGGAGGCGGCGGCGGCGGCGGCGGCGGCGGCGAGAACCCAGAGCCAGAGCCCGGCCGGGGCCGAGCGGAGCGGAGCTGAGCGCGGCGGCGGCGGCGGCGGCGGCGGCGGCTGGGCCGGGAGAGGCTGGCGCGCCGGGCGGCTCCGCGAATCCTCCGGCATCCGCCCCGGCGGGCCGCCCCCGCCCGCGGCAGCCCCCCGAGCAGCGGCCCGGCACCGGCGCCTTCCCGGCGGGGTAAATATTGGGGGGCCGCGGGCCCGCGGAGGGGCGCAAACCCGGGGGGAAATGGGGCTCCCTCCGCCTCTTTGTTTTTGCGCGAGAGCGAGGGAGGGGAGGGGACGGGAGGGGAGGGGGGGCGGACACACGCGCGTTCGCACTCGGGGACGGGGGTGGGGGGGCGGCCCGGGCGCCGCCCGCTCGGCCCGGCGAGGACAAAGGCGCGGCTGGGGACGAGGAGGAGGAGGGTGACTATTATTTCGCTGGCGTACCCGGGGGAGCCCCCCCACCCCAGCCCGGCCCGCCTCCCCCTTCCCCGGTTCGACCCTTCCAGGCTCCAGCCGGCCGCGAGGCCCCCCGCCCCCGGGGCCGTCACTGGGGGACGCTGGGGGAGGGGCTCTGGGCTGGGGCGCTGGGGCGCTGGGGGCCCCGAGACTGTGGATACTGTTGATTCCGGCTTCTCGGCGGAACCCTCGCCGGACCATCGGCAGCGCCAACCCCCCCTCTCTCTCCCGGCTCGGGGCTCCCGACCTGGGGGTCAGCGCGGCTGCTCCCGCGTGTGGGATGGGGGCGCTCGGGGGCGCGTGGGGGCCCTGCGGTGACGGGGTGTGTGGTCACCCAGCCGCCGAATCTGTTTTCCTTTGTGGAGAGAAAGAAAGGGGTGGGGGTTATTTATCAGATCGGATTCTCCCGTTTCTGCCCGTGAGAAATCCGTGTTTTGCAAGTCTCTGTGGAACCTGAAACTCTGTGTCCGGGTTATCGCTGGAGAGAGGATTCCCGAGCTCCTCTGCACGCCCCAACTCACAGTGGGGTGAGCCCCCTCCCCGACTTCGCCCTCAGTTCTCTTGCATAGGCGCTTCCCAGCACAATCTCCGCGAGAAGAAAGATTTGGGGCGAAGGGAAGACCCACTGTGTCTGAAGTTGCCTGGGTTTGGGGCTCCCTTGCCTTCCCCATCTAGAAGGTGCCTCCAATTTTTATTTTAATGGTCCACTGACAGGGGCCCCGGCTGTGGGGTGGGGGGTGTCAGAGTAAGAAAACTGCCCATGTGCTCTGTTGCTTGGTAGTTTGTGTAATTTTTTTTAACCAGCTGAAACTCCGGATTTGCGTCTTCCTTTTTTTTTTTTTCTACTTCGTTTATTCCACCCTCACCCCACCCCCCATGGGAGAAGCGGCAAAGGACTGGGAAGCTTCTCCTTACTCGATCCTTTCTCCTCTCCTCTGGGAGGCTTTTTAGGGGACAGTGCTGGGACAGTGGAGGCGCTCCCTGGGGCCCTGGCCCCGGGGGCTGGGTAGCTGGCGCCCAGCAGTGGTTTCCGGTGGGGCTGGTTGTTTGCACCCTCTTCTCCCCTTCCCTGCCCACAGCCCGGTGAGTGGGGAGGGGCTGGGGGGTCATGTGCGGTGTATTTATGTAAGACACCCAGACGGAGGGCGCGGGTATTTATATAACCCGGCGTGGGTATTTATGTAATATAGGATGCGGGTATATTTATGTTCCTTTCCTAACCTGCGGATTCCCCGGCTGCCATGTGTGGTCTCTGGATTGGCGTTGGCGGAACACGGGCTGAGGGGGGAGGCAGTGTTTGTGTATGTGCACACCCGTGACACCCCCCTCTTCCCCCCTCCTGCTGTGGGGCTCATGGTGTGTGTCTGCTTTCCTGTCTTCCTTGGGAGTGTACACACAGATCGGTGGATATGTGAAATGTGTGGCATGTGAGTTTTCTGCAGATGTGGAGTGTGTTCTGCCGACAGCCACAGCCAAGGCACCTCGGCCGGGGCGGCCAGGCGTGTGGGCAGAGGCCCTTGGTTGAGAGCCAGAGTCGGGCTGGCACGGGGCGGGGAGGCTACTTCCTCGTGGCCCACAGCGAAGGGCTGGTGGTAGCTCTCTGGGACTTAGGTGCTGGGGGCTCCATGTGTCTCCTGGGCTGGAGCTGTTGGCTTCTCGCCTCTGCTGGGGCAGAGAGCACCAGCCTGGCCATCTGTGAGCTAAGTCTCTCCCATCTCCCCTCCCAGGTGGGTGCGGCTTTGGGGATGGCATTTGGCATGGGGATGGGGCAGGGTGCTGTGCCCAGCACATCTGCTTTTCCATCTTCCCGCTTAGCTTCCCAGCTCTGGCAGGAAATAAGTCCTGTTTGTGTCAGGTGGGACGGCAGGAACGCTGTCTGGGTCCTAGGTGAGGACACTCTGCCACCAACGTGCTGTCAGGGAGTGTGGGGCAGGTGCTCTTGGGACCTCGCTAGGCCTGAGTTCCCGGTCTGCAGAGGGAGGTCCCTCTTGTAAACACTCTGAGATCTTAGGGGTCCCCCATCTTTCTCCGTTTCATGGTCCACCGTCCCCCATCTTCTAACTGTAGAAACCACCTCCTGGCCTTTGAGTTTCCTTTTCTGCTGACCAGGACCTCAGAGGGCAGAGGGTCTCTACCAGAGTGGCCCCTGATGTCGCATGAGCTTGGGCACCCAGGGTGAGGCACAGGAAGGAGGGAAGCCGCAGAGATCAGCACCCCTTCCTCAGACCTCTCCTCGCACCCCAGAGGCTGGTGACTGAAAACCTGGCTTTGGTCCCTTTGCTTGCTCTGTGGGGCCCTCTCAGGAGATCCTCCTTCTAGTCGTGAAGGAAGCCAACCCCAAACTGTTCAGAGAGGCCTGTGTGGGGTGCTTGGTGTCGTGAGGTCAAGAGAGAGAGCCGACTGAATGTTTTGGGGGCCCCCTTTCCTGCCTGCCCCCTGAGTTGAGAGGAGGCCTGTCTCCTGCAGGGCACACTGCAAGCTGGCAACTTCTAGCCTCTGGAAAGACGGGGCCAGGCTGTGGAGGCCTGGTGTCCAATTCTTGTTATTAGAAGCATGGGGGTTTGGGGGTGGTGGCGGGGGACTCTGTCATTGCCGAGTCCTAAAGGAGCTGAGGAACTCCTTTGGGACCCTCCATTCAATATGTCCTCCTATCCCTGGAGGCTTAGAACCTGCTGGTGGTTGCCATGGTAGCACCCCCAGAAAGATGAACTCCTGCATCCCTCTCCCTCCCCATCACCTCTTTTGTCTGATTTTCCTGGCCCATTGTGCCTGGCCCACCCCTGAGGGGCTGCTGTTGGTGGGTCCCCAAACAAGTGTCCCCCAAGGAGATGCTCGCTGGGCTTTTTCCTCTAGGGCTTAAGATCCAATTCCACCCTCTGCCTGGCTACACTGACACATTCTCAGCCTTGCCTCCCTATATCTCACCTGTGGAGGCCATCGGGCCACCTGGCACCTGGATGCCCTCGGGGAAATGTTGGCCTCCCAAGTTCCTTGCCTCTTTCCCTGGCCTTTGGGGGGAGTCCACTGGGCCAGGCTCCCTTCCCTGCTCCCCGCTTCCCTGACCCCTGTGTCTGCTTCTCTCTGCAGTGAGAGTGAGTCATGGAGCTGCGTGTGGGAAACAAGTACCGCCTGGGACGGAAGATCGGGAGTGGGTCTTTTGGAGACATCTACCTGGGTAAGTATCCCTGATTCCAGCCTAGTGGCTCTGGGGCCCCCGGGGTGGTGCCAGGGACAAGGAGGGGTAAATGTGTCAGGACTTCTGGCTCTGAAACCAGAACTTGGCTCCAGGCCTCCAGTGGCACGGTTTGGTCATTTTGTCCCCAGGGCCATCCTAGGTCGGGAGAGAAGCAGCAGGTTGGGGGTGAGGCAGGCTGGGGGGTAGGGAGGTTCCCCACTGGCTGCAGGCTGGACAGACGAGAGTATTTATAGCTCTGGTTTCCAGCTGATGATGACCTGGGTCTCCAGCTGGACGTGGGAAAGCCCAGGCTGGGGTAGCACCCCTGTTTCTTGCCTCCGGGGGGGGAAGGATGGTGGTAGACAGAAGAGGCTTGGGCCACCACTCGCTCCCAGCTGGGCGCCCTCCCTCTGCTCTGGCCCCCTGGAATTCAGCCCAGGCAGGCTTCGGAATGACGATGACGCAGGCTCTCCCACTAACCTCTGGGTAGGGGTGGGGGCAGGGGTCTGGTCGGCGTTTTCAGGATCTTTCTTTCCGGATGTGCTTCCTGTTGAAAGTCTGAATTTGCTCTTGTGTTGTCATTTTAAACAAAACGCTGACTTCTCACCCTGTCCCTCGACCTGACAGAAAAGAGGCCTCCTGCCTTCAAATGCTGCCTTCTCAGCTGCCCAAGGGCATATGCTTGGTCAGGAGTCAGCCCTTCCCTTGCAGTTGTCAGTCTGGGAGGAGCTGCTGTGTGGGTAATCATGAATGGAAGCTGTTAGAGCAGGGTATCCAGTCCCTGGGGTTTATCCACATTCCCATCTCTTTGCCTCTTTTTCCCTACTTGGAAAAGCAAAGTAAATCATTTCTGTCCGGGGCACAGAAAGGCAACAAAGCAGTGTGCTGTGTTCGTTGGTTCTGGACTTGGGGGTGGGGGGCGGTTTCTCTTACCTAGTGGTCGGGGCCTCTACCCACTTGGAGTATGAACTCTGCTTCTCAATGAGCTACCCCTTCCCCATCAGAGGCGACAGGTAAGGGACATTCTCTGAGCACGCAGTGGGTGCTGGGCAGGGTCCTTTTCGAATGTGGTCTCCCTGCAGAGCAGCCTATAGAGATGGAGCTGTTACTGTCCTTTCTGCGCACAATCAAGAAGCAGGTGTGTGTGGTCAAGTTGGCTGCCCATTGTCTTTCTCTTGAACATTAGAAAAGGCAGCCTTTATACTCATGAGTGAGAGGGTGTGATAGAACATGGGAGGGAGACATCAGACAGAGCTGGGTTCCAGACCTGGTTTTGTGCCGCTGTGGGAAAGTCATGTGACTGCTCTGTGCCTCAGTGTCCCCACATGGAAAGTTTGTGTGATGATGAGGCCTGGCTGACCAAGGGCAAAAGTCACGGAGAAGCAGCTTTTGGCACAGATACACATCTGCTTGTAGGGACCATCCAATCTAGGGCCTTCATTTTGTAGAAGGGAACAGAGGCCCCGAGAGGGGAGGGGAGGCTAACGTCATTGAGAAAGCTGGTGTCCCTGGTCCATGTGGTGGGACCTCCCTGGGGGCTTCCACGGAGGTCCTGGGGGACTTCCTGTTTATCTAGTTCATTTAAAAAAAAAAAAAACCTGTCTAGATTTACTACTCTTTGTGCAGGCTTTGGAGTAAGTTCTACCAAGATTCGGGTGTCGGCATTTCTTCCATTAGCTGTATTATGCCCAAAGGTGATGACCTCCACCAGTCTTGGCTTCCCCATCGGTAAAATAGGGTCATGAGGCCTGCAAGGTGGTGAGAAGTAATGAGATCACAGTGTGCACAACACCTGCACATGCTCGGCCCAGCTGTGGTGCTTTTCTGTTGTGTCCTCCACCAACCCTCAGTATTTTGGGATTTGCTATTGTCGGAGGATTTGGGTTTTCTTGGGCCTGAGTGGGGGAGGGAGCTGGTTCTGCCCTGAGAGCAGGTCCCCTGCCCAGCCTTTGCTGGGCGCTCAGGCCAAGTGTGTGTGTGTGTGTGTGTGTGTGTGTGTGTGTGTGTGTGTCCGTGTGTCCCGTGATGCTGTGTCCTGCCAGCTCCTTCCTGGGCTCCCTTCTTACCACTGTGGGGACAGCGTGATTGTAGGGCCTCCCCAGCTGGCCTCGCTGGCTCCCTTTGTTCAAAGCTCTGGCCACATTCTTGTCACTGACGCCAGTGCCAGGGCCCGACTCCAGATGGCCTCTGCAGGTGGGGCTGGGCGCGGCCTCCAGGCCCTGCTTTCCAGGATCAACCAAGGCAAGCCCTCTGTGGATGTGGCTGCAAGGCCCACAGCTTTTCTGGAGGTCCCGCCTCCTCTCCTCTTAGCGTCCTAAGGGAACAACCAGGAGAGTGGGGCCAGCTTTGTGAGGGCCTCGGGTCAGCTGCACAGGGTCTAGAAGTGGCCGAGACCGTGTCTGCTCTACCCCCTCTGGCCCTGTGCCCCTGAGAGCTCCCTATTCTTAGTCTCCATTTCTCAGTCTAAATGGCAGGGGGGGAATCCCTCGGTGGCGCAGCGGTTTGGCGCCTGCCTTTGGCCCAGGGCGCGATCCTGGAGACCCAGGATCGAATCCCACATCGGGCTCCCGGTGCATGGAGCCTGCTTTTCCCTCTGCCTGTGTCTCTGCCTCTCTCTCTCTCTCTCTGTGACTATCATAAATAAAAAAAATTAAAAAAATAAATAAATGGCAGGGGGTTGGAGGGGTGCTGTGTTCTGCACCTCCAATCCAGCCAGGTCCCTGATTACATGTGTCTGTGTTGGTGTCTAAATGAGCCAGCCCCCATGTGACGGTGGTCACCCCTCTCCCCACCCAGGGCTTCCCCAGGCCCCAGATCCCAGGCTGGCTCTCTCCAGGCCCTGTGCCGTGTCCCATTTGTTTTCCAGACTGCCCTCTCCTCCCACCCTGGGAGCCATTGTACCCTACCTGCTGGGTTACCTCTACTACCCCTGCTCTGGTACTTTGCACTTAGGGTCACCCTTTGTTGCTCCCACAGAAGGTGAGCTGATCTCATCCAGGGCAGGGCTGGTTCAGCCGCTCTGGGCCTTAGTATGTGTCTGTTGATTGAATGAATGAGATTCTAGACAAATCCCAGCTCTGCCCCTGCAGACCTGTGACCTTGGGCCAGTTATTAACCTTTTCTGAGCCTTAGTAGTGGGAGTGAAGGGAGATCAGAGGGGAAGGCTGGTGGCTTTCTGACAGAACTTAGAGGCAGTAGAGGGGCCTTGTGGTGGTGGGAGCCTGTGGGGGCAGCCAGCCGTGGCAGCTTTCCAGTACTCTGCAGAGACCCGAAGGCTTTACCTAAGAGCGAGGCTCCTGCCCTGGGGAAGTTAGCGCAGAATATAGTCTCTGACCTTTGGTGTTTCAGTTTCTATATGTGTCAACTAGAGATATAAACAGTAGTCCTTGCAGGATGGCAGGGGAGTGCCAGGGGATAAAGGGCTCCCAACACCCTGCCCCTCCCCATCTCAGGGAAGATGTTCTCTTGGGCACCTCTCCTTCTCTGCGTGCATCCTCCGAATCATAAGTGCTGGAGGTCCTGTTTTCAGAGGGGTCACCATCAATCAGCTCTTCTCTGGACAGTATTCCTGGGTCTCCCTCGCCCCTCACGTCCTCTCCAGTCCTCTCCTAATGCCAGTGGGTCTGAACAGGGGCAGGGGTTGGGGGCAGGTTTGTCCCACAGGAGATATTCGATGAGGTCTGGGAACATTGTTGATCGTTTAAACTCAGGGAAGAGGGAGCTACCATTGGCAGCTAGTGGGTAGAAGTCAGAGATGCTGCTAAACATCCTACAACACACAGGACGGGCTCCGGATTCCAGTAGTGCAGAGGCTGAGAATCCCTGCAACAAGGCATCCATACCCAGCCCATGGAGTCTCAGGCTCACAGCCAAGACCTCAGCTTGGTATTTGAGACCCTTCTGAGCTATCCTTTGCTCCCCTCTTGTGCCATCTTCTTCAGCTCCTTCCAGGTCTAGCTGCACCAAACCACTCAGGGTTCACTGCACCCCACTCCCGTTGGACCTTTTCGTGTGCTGTGACCTCTCTCTGGTACAGTGCTGCTCACACATCTGGAGCCTTGTGCAGCCTTTTCTCCCACTGACCTGCGCGTGGTTAGGACACGGGCTCATGTCTGAAGCCCAGGGCCCACTACTTACTGAACCCAACTTTCGTTGAGCACTGATTATGTGCCAGGCCCTGTGCTAAGCCTGGTGACACCTCAGAACAACCTCTCCCATACCACGTCCCACCGCCCCTCAGAAATGTGTGTGGCTCTCCCCACTGATGAGTGTCAACGTGCCAGAACATTTTACAGTTGGCAAAGTACTTTTTCTCCAGTTGCTCACTGGAGTTGGTAATCTCTTTTCTTTGTAATTTTAATTTTATTTTAGGGGGTTCAAAAATGAAAACACAAAACGAGAAACCAAAACACCCCGAGTGGGGATCCCTGGGTGGCGCAGCGGTTTAGCGCCTGCCTTTGGCCCAGGGTGCGATCCTGGAGACCCGGGATCGAATCCCACGTCAGGCTCCCGGTGCATGGAGCCTGCTTCTCCCTCTGCCTATCTGCCTCTCTCTCTCTCTCTCTCTCTCTCTCTCTCTCTCTCTCTCTGAGACTATCATAAATAAATAAAAATTAAAAAAACAAAAACAAAAAAAACACACTGAGTGGAAGAAATCAGTTGCAAAAAGATCACATATTGTATGATTTCCATCTAAGTGAAATGTCTGGAATAGACAGACCCATCGAGATGGTAGATGAGTGGATGTTGAGCGAATCCTGAGGGGTACTGGGGTTTGGAGGTGGTGAGAGTAGTCTAAAATTGGTGGTGGTATCAGTTACACAGCCTTGTGAATGAATATACTGAAAACCACTGAACTATACACTTTAAAGAAGTAATTGTGTGCTATGTGAATTATATCCCAGCAAAGGTGTTGGGAAAAGTGGCAGTTGTATAACCTGGAGTCCAGTAAATGGTCCTCCCCTCCAGGGTTAGGGGTCTGAGTAGCCCTTCCTGGCCCTTACTGGTTTCTCGTGCTTCTTTCCAGTGTTTTCTTATGTAGATAACAACTAAACACAGATCCGTATTATTTCCCCATCTTTTCATTTTTTTTTAAGCTAGAAAGAGCATAGAATACATACTGTTCTGTACTTTGCTTTTTCACTTCCTGTATCTTTGAGATCTTTCCACTTCTGCACAGAGAGAGCTTCCTCATTCTTTTTCCATTGTATTCTATGTTATTGATGGGCCATTCTTTATTTAACCAGCCCCACAATGATGGACATCTGGGCTGTGTCCAAGTTTTGTTGTTGCAAACAGCCCACAGTCAACAGCCGACAGCCTCATCCAGGCCCATTTTGTAAACACCAGGGTGCTGAGTGCACCCCTGAAGTCGGAAGGTTCTTCAGTTCGGGGTGCCCCCTGTGCTGCAACCGTGCCATCAGACAGCACAGGTGTCTTACGGCAGAACATCTGCCAGTTATAGGTGGGAGTGTACTTTGAGGACCATTTGTGTTTCTCTTACCAGGAGATTGAGCATCTTTTCATATGAGTACACCATTTTTATATTAATGATTTATTCTCTCCAGGTATCTATTCAAATCCTTTACCCTGTTTGCTTTGAGCCTTTGGTCCTTTTCCTAACAGATTAGCACTCTCAGCTCCTTGCTGCTGATAAGTTACAGGTATATTTCTTAGGACTTTGCTGCTGGTGTTTTTGTCAGGGAGAAGGGATTCCCTTTTTGGGTGGGACAGAGCCTTTTTTTTTTTTTTTTTTTTTTTAATAGCCTGTGGATTTTAAATCAGGGATAAAAAGCCTTGCCTACCCCAAAGTTTGTAAGGCAGTTCTTTCTTCTTCTAATATCTCACTGTTTTCATTAAGTGTTTTTCATTTTTGTTTTTTAAAGATTTATTTATTTATTCATGAGAGACAGAGAAGGAGAGAGGCAGAGACATAGGCAAGGGAGAAGCAGGCTTCTCGAGGAGCCCAATGCAGGACTCGATCCCTGATCCTGGGATCATGACCTGAGCCAGCAGCCCAACAGCTGAGCCACCCAGGCATCCCTTCTTTTCATTAAGTGTTGAGAAGATACAAAAGAATACATGTAACAAAAAAAAAAAAAAGAATACATGTAACAGATACGCATGCTATTAGGTACCTTCTGCTGGAGGAGGACCTGCCTGTCACCTTGTAGGGCCCTGCTACACCATTGCACTCCTCGTCTGCTTTCCCCTCCCAGAGGGAACCACCATCTGACAGTTGAAAATTGTTCCCTCCTGTTGCAGAGGTTTTACTGTTTGGACTTAATCCTATTCATAACAAAATTAACCATTTTTATTTTATTTTATTTTTTTATTACTATTATTTTTATTTATTTATGATAGTTACAGAGAGAGAGAGAGAGATGCAGAGACATAGGCAGAGGGAGAAGCAGGCTCCATGCACCGGGAGCCTGATGTGGGATTCGATCCCCGGTTTCCAGGATCGCGCCCCGGGCCAAAGGCAGACGCCAAACTGCTGCGCCACCCAGGGATCCCCTAACCATTTTTAAAATACACAGTTACATGGCCTTTGATACATTCCCATTCTTGTGCAACCACCATTCATACCTAGTTCCAAAACATTTTCATCACCCCAAAAGAAAGCCCCTTGTGCATTAAGTAGGCACGCCCTCTTTCCCCTTCCCAGCAGTCTACTTCCGGACTCCACAGAGTTACCCTATTTGGGACATTTCCTGTAATGGAATCATACAGGATTTGTGCTTTTGTGGGTCTGGCTTATTCATGTAGCACATTTGTAAGGTTCATCAATGTAACATGTGTGGTGGGTCCTTCATTCCTTCCCGTGGCTGAGTAACATCCCGCTGTGGAGAGATGCAGTTTGGCCACACATCCTATTGCTGCACACTGGGTTGTCCTCACCTTGGGTCCTTAGGAATGGTGCCACTCCTCGCTCTCTCGTACCAAGCTTTAAGATGCTGGGAGCCACCTAGCAGCCGCATGGAGTTGGTATCCATTACTTTGCACTGCCTTGTGGCCTTCTTCTCTCTGACTGCATCGCAGCTTAGCCATTCTGATGCTGGACATTTGGGTGGTTGGGGGTTGTGTACATTCTTGTGCTCCTGGGGCTCACATGTTTCTGAAGGGCACTATACTCGGGAGTGGACTTGCTTGGGCAAGGCTATGTGTGTATTCAGTTCCACTAGGTAAATGCCAGCCTGGTTTTCAGAATGGCTGCTAAGGTGCCTTGGCTCTTGATCTGGGGTTTTGTGTTCGAGCCCCACGTTTGGATGTAGAGATTGCTGTAAAAAAAAAAAAAGGGAAAGTGGCTGTGCTAACTTATGCCCCACCTTTTCTTTTTTCCACACAAATTTTTGCTTCACTTGGGATTTCTCTTGGTGTGTGGTGTGAACTGTGGTGTCTTTTCTCAGCTGGCTAGCCTGTTGTTCCAAGGACGTTTATGGCAGAGGCTCATCTTTTCCATCCTTTCTCCTATCCTAAATTCTTCCAATGCTGGTGTTCTCTGGACCTTCTGCTGTGTGTGTATGTGCTAAGGCTCCACTGTTTGAGTTATTGCCACTATAGTTAGACCTGGGCCCTGTCTCGTTCTAGCCCCCAGGCCTCTATCTCAGCCCCCTCGGTATTAGAGATGGGGAAACTGAGGCTAGGCACAGTTTGGATTTGGGTCTTCCTTGGGACTTCTTGAGACAGAGCCTTGCTCTGCCCCCTTCTCTCCTCCTTAGCCTGATATCCCACTGACCTCACTCCTCTCCAGCTCAGCAGCTCCCGCCCTCCAGGATAAAATTCTTTTCCCCCCGGATCTCTGGGCCTCCTGCAGCCCATCCCATCTCCCTTCACACCCGGCCTTCTTGCTGCATCATTCTGTGGCTCTGTGAAATGTCTGCAGATCCTCCGTCCTTCCCCTCCCCACTCCCACCCAAGAGGAGCCGGGTGCCTGCTCTGTGCCGGCAGCCGCTCCACTTCCCTTGGATATGGTGCTGGGCCCTTTGCTGCCTTTCCAGCCTTCCCCAAGGGGTGCTGAGCTGCTTAGGGGCAGACACCGAATTAGCTGTGACTTGGGGCCACCTGCCTGGCCGAGTATGACCCAGGTCTCTTGTGTCCCTCCTCCATCCCTGGTAGGTGCCAACATTGCCTCTGGTGAAGAAGTTGCCATCAAGCTCGAGTGTGTGAAAACGAAGCACCCGCAGCTACACATCGAGAGCAAGTTCTACAAGATGATGCAGGGAGGAGGTGAGGGCTGGGTGGGGCCTGGGGGTGGAGCCTGAATAGCACTGGGTGGGGGTGGGTTGTGCACGTGTGCACAAAGGTGTGGTGGGGGGCTGCCAACCTGACCCCTCATCTCTGGCCCTCAGTGGGAATCCCATCCATCAAGTGGTGCGGAGCTGAGGGGGATTACAATGTGATGGTCATGGAGCTGCTGGGGCCCAGCCTCGAGGACCTCTTCAACTTCTGCTCCCGCAAGTTCAGCCTCAAGACAGTGCTGCTCCTGGCCGACCAGATGGTGAGTCCCTACCGTACCATTGGGCACAGGATACCAGCCCTGCCTCCTGCGACTGGAGGATGCCCCAGCAGGAGGCAGTGACAGGGACATAGGACAGGCTTGGTTCCTAGATCAGGACCAGGGACCTTGACCATTGGCTGTAGAATTGGGGGTAGGGGGGGTCTTACACACAGAGGGAGAGGGAGAGACAGGCAGAGGGAGACACAGGCAGAGGGAGAAGCAGGCCTCATATAGGGAGCCCGACGTGGGACTCAATCCCAGGTCTCCAGGATCAGGCTCTGGACTAAAGGCGGCACTAAACTGCTGAGCCACTGGGGCTGCGCCATATAGCAGGGCTTTAAATGCAGATCTCTAGGCCTCCTGGGTTGGGCTCCTGGGGTAGGACCTGGGACCCTGCCTCAGGTGATTCTAAAGCCAGTGATCACACAATCTGGGCTGCACCCCAGTGTGTGACTGACTGTAGGTAATTGCTAAGCCTCTCTGAGCATCAGTTGTCTCATGTGGGAGTCTCTCCTTTGTTGTGGGGTCAAGAGGGACACCACACAGTGCCTGGACCAGAGCAGATACACGGCCCACTGATAAGCGGTCCTTGGGCCCTAAAGCCCTTTACAAACTCAGAGGAGGAAACCTTTTTAAAAATATAACATAGATGGGATCCCTGGGTGGCGCAGCGGTTTGGCGCCTGCCTTTGGCCCAGGGCGCGATCCTGGAGACCCGGGATCAAATCCCACGTCAGGCTCCCGGTGCATGGAGCCTGCTTCTCCCTCTGCCTGTGTCTCTGCCTCTCTCTCTCTGTGTGTGTGACTATCATAAATAAAAAAAATATGTATATATAACATAGAATTTTGGACTCAGAATGATATGTGGAGCTCTTGTTAGGCAGGGGTCTGGGTCTGCGGCTGGCCTGCAGAGTCTACAAACACTTGCAATTTGGGACTAAATGTGTGTGTGCAGAGGAGAGTTTGTCAGATTCTCACAGGATGTGACACTCAGTAAAGGTTTAGGAAATACTCTGCCAAGCCAGACGAAGCTGTTGACTTCCAGAAGCCTGAAACCCAGAGACAGGACTCACTTGCCAGAGGACGTATTGTGTATACCCATATTCATTCAAGTTTCTGACATAATATTTAAAGGAAGGGTCTGTGTGGTCCCCCTGACTCTGGTGTCTTTTGCAAGCTAGGAGACAAATCCTGTCTTTTGTGCCCTAGCTCTGTCACCCCTGAGTTTAGGCTTCATTGGTCCTCCACCCTTTCCTCCCTTCCCCCACAATTTTGGTTGCCAGAACAGTCTTTGAAATGCCTCTCTAACTCCAGCTCCTCAAGTCTGGTGACGGTGTAGAGCCAGGCAGCAGTCTCTCCTGGCCAGGCCCAGATGCCTTACCGGGCTTTATCTCTAGATCTTGCCGTTAGCTTTCCAACCTTGCTGTCTGTCCCTGTTGCACAGCAGCCTCGGTGAGCTCCTTTCAGAATTCCTCTCTACGTCACTTCCTCCAGGAAGCCTTTTCTGACCTGCCCCTCAAAATCATCTTATGCAGTTGCGGAGGCAGATCTTTCTCCCCTCCCCAGGGTAGGGACCACAGATGCCTCTTTTCTATTCCTACCACCCCTGCCCTCAGGCCCCAGTGCAGGGCCTGGCCCAGGGTGCCCTCCATGGACCACTTGCTGAGTGACTTGCTGCTCCCTCCCCCAGATCAGCCGCATCGAGTACATCCACTCCAAGAACTTCATACACCGGGACGTCAAGCCTGACAACTTCCTCATGGGGCTGGGGAAGAAGGGCAACCTGGTGTACATCATCGACTTCGGCCTGGCCAAGAAGTATCGGGACGCCCGCACGCACCAGCACATCCCCTATCGGGAAAACAAGAACTTAACCGGCACTGCCCGCTACGCCTCCATCAACACCCACCTGGGCATCGGTGAGTGTGCAAGGCCCGGGAAGCCATGTGCGTGCACTCGTGGGCTTGCTGACCAGGCTGCTCCCCCTCAGTTGTTGCCCCAAAGTTGGGTCTTTTAGGAGAAGAGCTATGGCATGGCAAGCACCTTAACATGCCTTGCTTTGCCCCCACAGCAGCCACATAGAGTGGGGGGGGGGGGGGCGGGGGCCGCATGCAGGCTCACAGGTGCAACAGAGGCCGCTCTGCATTGCACAGCTTAGAGAGGACCAGAGTCAGGTTCGAGCCTGGCCCTGTCTGTTGCCACACTTGTACCCTGTCCACAATGTGGGCTGGCGAGGAGGCAACAGGGTGCTTATTACATAGTTGTTGAATAAATAAGTACCTGCACTAGAGAAACTAGACCCAGATGGAGTAGGGAAAGCTTGGCCCCAGGCCTTTTTCTGTAGGAGGGATGATAACCCGTGTCTATTTGGGAGTTGCGGCTAGCCAGCGTGAGGGCTGGCGGGAGTGGGGGCAGTGCCTTTCAGTTGAGCATGTCCTGGAGGGAGAGGGTCGTGGTCCCCATTGGCGTGGAGCCCCAGTGGACCCTGCCCCTCACCCTGTCCTCGACTCCATGCAGAGCAAAGCCGTCGAGATGACCTGGAGAGTCTGGGCTATGTGCTCATGTACTTCAACCTAGGGTCCCTGCCCTGGCAGGGCCTCAAAGCAGCCACCAAGCGCCAGAAGTACGAGCGCATCAGTGAGAAGAAGATGTCGACACCGATTGAGGTCCTCTGCAAAGGCTACCCCTGTGAGTAGCCCAATGAGGGAAGCAGCCAGCTGGGGACCCCCTGCAGGGGAAAACAAGGGGAAGACAAGGCCGCCCAGCCCACACTGGACCCCACTGCCCCGGCGCCAGAATGTTAGTCAGAGACTAGCTGTCCCTGCTCAGGCCCCTGTCCTGCCTCATCTCATAAGGGCTACATTTTAGGAAAGCTAGTTCTTCCTCACCCTGCGAGCCTCCTTTACCACCCACACAGAACATGCCCGTTCTGACACTTTAGCTCACCACACATGGGGGAGGTTCCCTCCACCAAGCAAGTCTCCGTGACACCCATTGGGTGTCCTCTAGCTTAACTCAGTTCTGACATAGTCTGCCTGGAGGCAGCAGCAGATCACACAGGTTTTTGGGGCTCGATCTCACAAGACCACTCCCTCCCACCCCGCCAGATGCCGGTCACAAGTCCGACTTGCTACCTGTGCTCTGAATCTGACATTCCCAGCCCCTCTCCTTGGCTGAGATGAATTTGCTAGAGCGGCTCACAGGACTCGGGGAAACTTACTTGGTGTTCCACTTTATTAAAGGCTATGATACAGGATGTGGATGAACAGCCAGATGAAGAGATACATAGGGTGAGGTCTGGGAGGGGCCCGAGCACAGGGGCTTCTGTCCCCATGGAGTTGGGGTGTGTCACCCTCCTGAATGGGGACATGTTCACCAACCTGGAAGCTGTCCAAACCCCGTCCTGTTGGGATTTTTATGGAGGCTTCTTCATGTAAACATAAGCGATTACTACATTTCCAGCCCTCTCCCTTCTAGAGAAGTGTGTGGGGGGTGGGGCGGTGAAAATTCAAGCATTCAAAGCTTCTAGTCATGGCTCGCTCTTGTGAGCAGTCCACCCATCCAGGAGCCATTACGAGCCCACCCAGTGCTTCAGAACAAAAGACGCTCCTAGTGCTCTTAGCGTTTGGAGATTTACAAGGGTTTTCGGAGCTCTGTGCAGGAATGGGGGCTGAGACCAGTATATATTTTTTACTAGCTCACAAGGGCTCTCCCCACCCCTGCTTTCTGGAGGAGGAAGTTTGCCTCCTGTGGCTAATGTCATGTTGGGAGTTCCCACTGTGTTCTTGAGTCCTTTGGGTTTTGTGATCCCTCCTGATCTGCCCTGTGCACGTGGTCCCCAGAATGACTGGCAAGAGCAGATAGAGCTGTGGCCTAAGACTGCGGTGCCAGCCAACTGCAAGGGAGCACTTGCTCATAATTCACGGCTCTTTGGTTCTATTCAGGTCTTCCCAGGCTTTCCCCACCGACGTGTGAGGGTTTTAGCACTGTTAGAGGGACCGTAGTTCAGCTCTGTCATCATCTTGTTCCCTCTTAGATTGAAAGCATTTGTAGGGATAGTGGTGAATGGGTAGGATGACCTGGGCTACGGGGGCCCTGGGAGCCTAGGCTGGGCCTCACCTCGGCCTTTTCTGTGACCCCTGCCAGCTGAGTTCTCAACATACCTCAACTTCTGCCGCTCCCTGCGGTTCGACGACAAGCCTGACTACTCCTACCTGCGCCAGCTCTTCCGCAACCTCTTCCACCGGCAGGGCTTCTCCTATGACTACGTCTTCGACTGGAACATGCTCAAATTCGTGAGTCACCTGGAGGCCAAGGCGGGCTTGGGGGACTGGACGGGGAAGGCCCTGACTCATAAGGCCAAAGTGACCCTGTGGGGGGTGGGGCTCCCGAAAAATGGGAGTTATGAGCTGGACAGCGCCAGCGACGTCGCTGGGGTCCCGGAGTCCCCGCGATCTCCCCTCTGCAGCCTCATCTGTGCTGACAGCACGTGCTGCTGTGGTCAGCAGGGCCTGGGCAGGGCACCACCTCCCGCCAGGCCCAAGAGGACCTGGCTGGGCCTCAAGTCCCTCCTCGGTGCCCTCGGCGGGGCGTGGATGGCGCTGGCGGGCCCCCCGGCTGTCCTGATCGTTGCCTACACCACCCTGCTCTGGTTGTTCTGCACATCCCAGGCGGCTGCCTTCAGCGTGGCTTCTCTGGCCAGCCTCGACCCGTTCATTGTGGTTTCTTTCTTCCTGGTCATGGGACCCTGGGTCTTGCTAGGCGGTTGCTCTGTCTCCCTCTTTTAAAGGTCTTGGGGGGGTGGGGGGTGGGGAGGAGCGTTCGTCAGCTGTGCCCGGAGCTCCGGAATCTGTGAAATTGTGTGTCTCGTTTCACATCTCTTCTGGAAAAGGGGGCTTCCTCGAGCCAGGCTCAGCCCCGTGACAACGAAGCCATTGCGCTGCCCTGTCCCCGCCCCCGTCCCTGGGCCGGGCCCACGTACTCACCCTCCTACTGGTAAGGACCCACCAAGGCCTGGCCTTTCCGAGATTTACCGCTTGGCCGGGCAAGCACAAGAGGCTGAGCCTCTGCTGTGCTCTCTGTCCCTTCCAGGTGCCCGGCGCCCCTGGGCACCCAGGGCCCTCCAGATAGGCCTGTGGAGGAGGTGGAGGAGCTGCCCCCCCAAAACTACTGGCCTGTGGTCTGGACTCCGGGGCCCCAGTTCTGACGTCACCAGGTGTGTCTGCGCCCATCGGGGCCAGGCCTGAGGAGGTGTCCCTTGGCGTTGGTGGGGTGCGGTGGAGAGGGAGTGGTGGAGAAGGCCCTCCCATGAGATTCTTGGGGACGAATCAGCTGCCTGATGAACAGAGCCTGAAGGAGGGATGACGTTCACTGCCCTGGAGGGCCTGGTGGGAACGGGCACTGGGAGCAGCCTCAGCAAGACCCCGACGGTGGCCTCTCTGTTGCACCTGAACTCATTAAACGCCCCCAGCCTGTATCGCACTTCATGCTGGTGTGCCTCTCCTTTTGTGGCGGATGCCAGATGCTCAGGACCCAAGGGCTTATCCTCCTGGACACTGGGGTCGGCACTTGGTCTGGTGCCCCTCTTCTCTCTCGGCTTGGGGCAGTACTGTTCCCTGAAGAGTTTGACAGGTCAGGCAGAGAACATCAGTCCCACGGGCCAAGGGACCTGAGGGGTGGGGGTGGGCAAAGGGCAGTGGGGCACCTTTCACCCAGACCTTCCAGCTGGGAGTGTGGCCAGGGGCCAGCTCTTCTCACCAAAGGGCGTTCACTGCTCAAGGCTCTGGACACTGGGCACTCGGTCATCTGTGTAGAAAATTTTTCCCGGGCCTGCTGTGGGGATGGGCTTGGCCCTTCCTCTCAGTGTAGCTCCAAGAAACGGGTGTTATGTTGTCTAGGCTTGCACCATGCAGTATGATAGCCACTGGCTACATGTGGCTAATTTTAATTAAAAGGAATCAAAGCTGAAAATGTAGTTGCTCACTTGCATTTGCTACATTTCAAGTTGTTAGGAGCCACGTGTGTTTGCTTAATGGCTACCACGTCCAATAAGGCAGACTGTGAACATTTCCATCATCACGGAAAGTTCTGTGGGACAGTGGTACTCTAGATGGGTTCTCACAGAACCTCTCATGGGACCATCCATCTGACAAGATCTCATCTCAACCCAGGCCAAGAGTACCCCCCACCCACCCATGGCTGGTACTCTGACCCCTTCCTGGGGTTCCCTCTGAGGCAGGCTCTAGAGTCAGAAGCTGAGCAGAGGTGCCACCAGCCTTATTCTGCACCCATCTCTGACTTGAGGGTCCTGGATGGGATCCCTGAGCGCCTTTGACCCCATCACCACTATGGTGAACTCCACCGTCTCTACCTGCCTGTTGGCAGAAGCATCTGACATGTGATACGGGGACCATCCATGCCTTCACCCCAAGGCCAGGCCCCTGGTGCCATTACCAGCACCGCCCTACAGACTGGACCCCACGCCAGGCACCAAGGGCTACGGACTCCTGCCAGAAGGTTTGCACCCTTGACAGAGCTTCTCTCCGTGAAGTGGCCACCTCATTCGGTGTCAGGGCCCTGGAGCCCCCAGATCCCTGGAGCTCGGGACATTGCTGTCGGCACCCACAACCCCTGTATTCCGAGGTCCACCCAGCAGGCCAGCAGGAGACTCAGTGTAGCCAAGGACAGGGGTCCGCACGACAGAGGTGGATTCTTGTGTGACTTTGATGTTGATCTTTTGTGTTTTCTGTGGGCAAATAAAAGCCAAGAAACCTCCCCGGTGTGCATTTCTTGAGGCGTTACTGGTTGGATGGAAACTTGCGTGGAGAGTAGTTCCTGCTCTGGGCTGGCCTTGACCCGAGCTTGCTGGGGTCACAGGGGCAGGGGCTCCAGCTGTCTGCTCAGTGGCTTACCCCAGGGCTGCAGCCCTCAGAGTGGACCACTTGGCTCACCAGCCTCAGTTGGCCCAGGCAAGGGATGCCCTGCCCTGCCCTGCCCACAGGGCTCTTAGCACAGGCTTGCTCTGGTCCTGCCTGGCTGAGTGGCTCGCTGCCATCCTATCAGGGCTGAGTGGAGCCTGGGGTGGCAGGGGTGGGGGGATGCGGGGACGGGGACTGGAGTCAAGAGGCAGAGCCCTGGTGGTCAGGCCTGCCTGGACAGGCTTGTGGGCGGAAGGGCCAGGGGTGTGCTTCCCAACTAACTCTTCTGGGGCTGCAGAGTAGGACTGGGCGGCAGAGGCCCGGATTCAAGCCCTGGCTCTGCCTTGAGCTGTGTGACCCCACATAGGTCATGAGAGCTCTTGGGGCCTTGATTCCTCACTAGGATTCAGGGATCATTCTGATCCCTAGCTGCCCATCTCTGGCGTTGCTTAAAGGCAAGGGTCCCCCAGCCCTCATTTCCCAAGGACAGCAGAGCCTTCTCAGCCAGTTCCCTGGGAGAGGCACAGGGTTGCAGGAGCCTGTACCCCCTGGCCCGTGAACAGGCCCCCCACTCAGCCTGCAGCTCTCTCCTCCACAGATGCGGCCCCCCTCATGCCAGCCCCCCGCCCTTCCCTGTGGACGACCCCAGGACCAACTAGGTAATGCGGCCAGGTGCCGCTCCCGTGCCATGCTCCTCTCTCTGAGCCTTTCTCCTTTCCTCCTTCACTGGGGTGGCAGCAGCTGGAGGGCAGGCCTGGGGGGCTCACGGAACCCTTCCAGCACAGCCTGCCCATTGGGCCTCTTTTTTCTCCACGGGGCATCTGGCCATTCTTCCTTGAGCTTCCCCTGAGCTCCTCTCTTGTCTCAGGGCCACCCCTGCCTGCCCCCCAGCACCTGCCAGATGTCATTGCCAGGTCCAGGGACAGGAGAAGAACAGCCTTTGATGAGGTCCTCCAGCTGTTGCTTTGGTTCAAGTCCTGGCCCTGCCTCTAGCTGTCCTTGTTACTCCTTCCCTGGGTCTCTGAACACCTGCCTTGCTTGTTTGGAAACTCGGAGGAGCTGAGGGCTTCTGAACACAGTAGGGGCCCAGGTTGGGAGCGTCGGGGAGTGCCCTTGCACACTCCGGGGCTTTGTTCTTCCCGGCTCTGCCTCTGCCCCTTGAGACCAGGGCAGAGTAACCTTGCTCTGCTTCTCAGACCCAACTACCTCCTTCCTCTGGGCGGTTGTGTGGCTCTGTTTCTCTGTCCTGTGTGATCGTGGGTCATTTCTAGGCCTCGGGCTCCTTGCCTTGTGGGGAGGAGGTTGGGCCAGAGGGTTTCTGAGCCGTGTCTTCCCCAGGTGCCCACTCGGCCTCCCTCCCCATGATCTGCCTGGCAGGAGTGCTGGATCTCAGAGCCCCCTGAGCTCTCAGGGCTGACCAGGTCTCCTCTCACCCCAACAGGGCGCGGCCCGGAACCCCGAGGATGTGGACCGGGAGCGGCGAGAACACGAGCGCGAGGAGAGGATGGGGCAGCTCCGGGGTTCCGCGACCCGGGCCCTGCCCCCTGGCCCACCCACGGGGGCCACCGCCAACCGGCTCCGCAGTGCTGCCGAGCCCACAGCTTCCACCCCAGCCTCCCGCATCCAGCAAGCTGGTGAGCAGGGACCTTGAGCGGTAGCTGGGCCTGGGAATGGGGGCGGCCGGGGACCTGGGCGCTGAGGGTGGCCTCCCCCTGCCTCCCACCCTCTAGGCAACACTTCTCCCAGGGCGATCTCACGAGTCGACAGAGAGAGGAAGGTGAGCATGAGACTACACAGGGGTGCGCCCGCCAACGTCTCATCCTCCGACCTCACTGGGCGGCAAGAGGTCTCCCGGATTTCAGCCTCACAGGTGAGCTGCACCCACGCCAACCCCACTGTACCTCACCGCTGCACTGGAGGGCCGTAGTCTGTAGGGAATCGGGCTCGAGCTTCTGTTCTTACCTCCCCGATGACTTTGGAGCAGCCCCCTTTGTTGAGCAGAAACTTGGCTTCATTTAATCTTCTGAGTGGGTTTAGCCTCACTGAGCAAAGAGGAAACTGAGGCTCAGAGAAGTAGCTTGTCCCCCAGCAGGTGGTAGAGCTGGGATCCCCCCCTTTACTACCAAGGCCCAGCCCGGGTGGGCCGCAGGGAGCTCACAGAGGAGGGACTGATGGTCCCTGCCATCGGGAAACCCCCTTCCCCTCAGGTCCTGCTCAGCACAGGATTTGAGGGATGGTCAGATTCTGCTGGTGACCCCACTTGGGGCCCTGTTTGGACTAGGAAAGTCAGGAAGGAGGAGTCTGTGGTTGCCCGGGGATGGTGTCTTGGCAGAGGTGGGCGGGAGACCTGCTTTGGTCCTTCTGCCTGAGGTGGGTGAGCCTCAGGATGGGCCACAAGCTGCGAGTCTGATGACCCCGACTTGCGGTGGGTCTAGAGCTGGCTGCTTTGCCTCTGGGCAGTGTGCTTGTCTACACAGCAGCCACGTCCTAGGGTCATTGAGATCACATACCCCTTACCTTGGCTCCAGGGGCGGTGGGGGTGGGCATGGAGCTTCACACTGCCATCATTAGCTCCTTATCCCCTCTCCACCTCTGTGCCTCTCCTCCCAAAGACAAGCGTGCCATTTGACCATCTCGGGAAGTGAGGAGGAGCCACCATCGGACCAGTATTTGCTTAGGTGAGTCAATATCTGCTGCAGAGGCAGTCCAGCCAGGCCTAGAAACACCCATGGCCCCAGGAGGAGATGTATATGTAATGGAGTGGTGGGGGGGGGAGTGGCAGGGATCCCCCAAATGCAAAGCTCCCAAAAGAATTTACCTTGGAGCTACCTGACTCAGGCTCTGAGTAGGCCCAGCCCACACCAGCTAATTTCTGCTGGAGAACCCTTCCTCTGCCCTCACTCAGGTCAGTTCTCCATCCTGCCCTACCTTGCCTTAAAACAATCTGCAAAGTTAGTTCTTAGCAGAGACAGCCCTGGGGCCCACACCCTGACAAGCTCCCCCAGGGTTTCAGTCCTGCCTCAGCCCCTGGGCTGTTAAACTGGTCATTCACACAAAGCACTTAGAATGGGGTCATGGACCTAGGAGTTTCTCTGCTATAAGAGAAGGCCCTTGGTGGCCACCATGAGCCCTCTGGCCAATGTGAACCTTGATGAGATTTCCATGGCCACATGCGGGCTTGAGGTGCTGAACAGCAGGTCTCTGCTCTGGGGCCCAGCTTGGGGAAGCAGAGGTTCTCTGGGGGTAGGTGGAGGGGACATGCTGATGAGCTCCCTGGGAAATCTGTACATTTTAGGGGGCTTCACCAGCTTGGCCTCAAACCAGGACATCCTGAGCATGATTTACTTTGCAGAAATTCATTCCACAGATAGAGCTGGGATAAAAGTAGGGCTTACCTATGTCAACTCTCAGGTCTAGGAACCAGTCCTTCTATTCTTTCTATGGGTTGGAGGTGAGGTTCTGCTTACCAGGAGGACAGAGGAGGGAGAGAGATTGTGTTCTTCCGATGAACAGGGAGCACCTGCTCTGTCCCCAGAGAGGGACCGGCTCAAAGCCTGGGGACAAGAGAGTGGGAACTGCATGTGGTCTGCGGATGGGTGGCCAGAGGCAGACGTGCACCTCATCTGTTTTCTCTCCCCCTTCTAGTGTCTTCACTGTATTTTCTTTTAAAAAACAACAACAACAACAAAAAGATGGGGAAAAAAACCACTCAAAAGAACAAAAAGAAAAAAACCCAGCATAAAACCGACGATGGATTTTGTTTCTTTTATTTTTTTCCTCTTTTTCTTTCTTTCTTTCTTTTCTTTCTTTCTTTCTTTCTTTCTTTTCTCTTTCTTTCTTTCTTTCTTTCTTTCTTTCTTTCTTTTTCTCTTTCTTTCTCTCTTTCTTTCTTTTTTTTTTTTTTTTGCCAATGGCAAGAAGATGGGATGCTTTCAGCACAGAGGATTCTTGTCCCTATGCGTTTCCCACTGTCCACAACCTTCAGGCTGCCAAATGCTCCCCAGACACTGGGCTACAGGAGTCAGACGCCATGGCCCTGCCCCAGCCAACACAGACACCGGCTGGACGGGGCTGTCTCTCTGCTGGAGATGCATCTGGTCCTCATGGGCGGGCCATCGAAAGGTGGCCCGAGGAACTGGGGGAAAGGTTTGGTTGGTGGGAGGCAGATCCCACTGAGTGCTCTTGAGCCTCAGGACCCCAGGAGACACGCACAGCCCCTACTGCCCTGAAATGACTGTGGCTGAATTCCTGCATTGGGCTTTTTCCAATGTCCCCTGAGCGTTTGGGTCTCTTCTTTGCCTCTCCAAGAAGACTTTGAGGAATGGGTGGCGAGGTGCTGGGGGCTGCGATTCTCGTGTGCGTGTGTGTCTGTGTCTGTAGCTCCCGGGCAGCGGGTGCCCCGCTCCACCTGCCAGGCCGAATTTCTATTCTCCTAACAAGGACATGGGGGTAGGCAGTGACTCCCATGTCCCTCAAGGGCAGAGGGCCCTTGCCACTCCCGACCCCCAACTGTCATCAGCCTGTGGCAGCCCCCACCTCCCCTTCTGGGTCTTAGGGCAGAATCCATGGAGACTACTTCCAGAAAGCATCCGGTTCCTGGGTTATAAATTAATTCTCCAGTCCCAAGGCACCTGGGGCCCCACCCTCCCTGGGTTCTGCCTCTTGAGGAGCAGCCTGGGGTCAGGGCTGGGCCCTGGATTTATCCACCCCTCCTAGGTAACACCCCATTTTTACTTTATTTTTGTTTGTTTTTCTCTGTGTGTGTGTATTTCCTAATTTATTTACCTCTTTTCCCCCTTTTTTTCTTTTTCTTTTTTTTTTTTAATTAAAGAGCAAAGCTTTTTATTACTTTGTAATTTAAAAAACTGAAAAAAAAAATACTGAAGAACTTTGGGGGGAATTTTGTACTTTTTTCCTGTGTAAATATTGGACTTTTTTGAGCTTTATTGTGGTTGTTAATTTGAAGTAATAAAGTAGAAAAGGATAAAGTGACATGGGCAGCCCTTGGTCCACCTCTTTGCACTGGGGGCTTCTCCCCAGCAGGCCTGGGGGGTGTGTAGCGGAGGTGACTCCCCCTGGGCATTGATCAGCACCTCCCTCGGGTTATTTTAAACCAGTGTTTGACAACAGCTGGTGCCTCATTCAAGAGCAGATTCTGACTCCAGAGGGGACTGAGGATTCTCATCCTCACAGGATCCAGGTGACCACTGGCCCAGGACCACACTGCATAGGAAGGCTCAAAGCACTCTTCACAAGTTGATCTTATTCACACAGGAATTGTGAGTGCGGCCCTATTTATCTCCCCACCTTCAGATGCAGAAACGGTGCATAAGTAAAATAACCTGCCCAAGGTCACACAGCCAGCTCTCCAGCAGTGAAACCAGGATTCAACCCTGCCGTTGGCCAGGGAGCCCTATGAGTGAAGGTCCCTGAGGCCGGTTCTGGTGCTGACTCTGCACCAGTGCCCATGGGCAGTGCTTCCTTTGGGCTAGCCTTGATAAAGGAGCAGCCCTCGGCCTTGCATTCCTGTGTCTCATTGGCTTCAAGAAGAACCTGTCAGTTTACCTTTATCCAACACTTTACTTTCCAACTTCTCATTAACCCAAGAGCCAGTATTGCCATAGTCAACCTGCAAGGCAAGAGCAAAGCCAGCTGATGGCCCAGTCAGTCTGGGGAGAGGGTGAGGGCTCTGAGAGGTTGGTTCCCCAGGGGTGTTCTGAAGTCCTCGGCATAGCTCATACCCCCAGAATTAAGGTCCCTTCAGGGCTAGCATTTGAAGACCCTGGGACCCCATAGCCTGGCTCGGGCCTGGTGAAGTGTCTGCTGCCCCTCCATGGAAGGCTTAGGCGAAGCTGGGTTCTAATTCACAACCATCAGAGAGGGGAGTGTGTTACTCAAAGCCAAGGAATACCAGAAGGCCTGAAAGTACGGGCAGTGCCCCAGAGCCAAGCACAGGAAAGCCTGTCTGGGAGAGTTAGTGACCCCATCCCCCACCCCCCAGCTCTCCACGGGCTCCCCTCAGGACCTTTCAGGGAGCGAATCTGACTTCAAAACAGTAAGTGGCATAACCGACTACAGGCCCTGAGGGAAAATAGAAGGAGCTCATCTTTTTTGAAAGTCTTATATACATACTTCTGCAGCGAAAATCTTAGTGCCTAGTAACACTAATGTATTAAAATTACAATTTTAATATTACTAGTAAACATACCTATGGGGTAAAGAGGTGTTTTTACAGTTTGGGGGGTTTTCTTGTCCTTGGAATATATCTCACTAAGGGTGCACTGTCCGAGTACAGTGCCCAGAAGTAATGTGAAATCATTCTTTTCTCTGTGGTTATTGTATTGATTTTAATAATGAGTGAGTACTCCCCCACCCCATCCCAGTGTTTTCATTTTCTTTTTTGGAGATGTTACATATCTGAAAGTCAAACTATATGAAACATTATAATCAGAGACTCACTCCTGTTCCTGGCCCGCCACCCTGTCTCCTCCTACCCATGATCCTCACTGGTCTCTCGTTCATTCTTCCTCTGTCTCTTAATTGGCGAGCTAATGTACATGGGAGTGGGTGGTGGCTGACAGTCTCTGAGGAAGTGACATTTAGTTGAGGCTAGAGGTGACCAGGATGTGTCAACCATGCAAACAGTTTATTAAGTACGCCAAATAATCACCCAGAAATTTTGCCCAGACTGGAGGGGACAAACATGCCACTTGATGAATCATTTTCATTCATGCAACAAACAAACATTGACTAGGCTTGTATGGGTGCCAGGGATGCCAGGTGCTGGGCTGAGGAAGAGTGGATTGCAGGGGTGAGGGTAGGGAGAATGGGGCTGGAGTCCAGAGGGCCAGCTTGGCTCCTCTGTGACCTTGGGTGTTGTCTGGGTCCTGGCTTTCTCCTCTGTAAAATGGGGGTGATAATACCTGCTTCAGAGGGTGGCGGGATTAAATAAGACCACAGAAGAATGAAAGGGCTGAGATAATTGAGGGCTTTCCATGCCACGCCTGGTTCCCAACCCTTTGCTCATAATAACCTATGAGGTTGGTATATAATGATGCCCATTTTATAGGTGAGGACATTGAAGCACAGAGAAACCTGCTTGGCTCCGTGGCCGATGCCTTTAGCCTCCACGATAGGCACTGTGTAAGTGCTTAGTAACGGTAACTATACATTTCATTTTTTAAAAAGATTTTTATTTATTCGTGAGAGACACAGAGAAAGAGAGGCAGAGACACAGGCAGAGGAAGAAGCAGGCTCCATGCAGGGAGCCTGACGTGGGACTCGATCCCGGGTCTCCAGGATCACACCCACCCTGGGCTGAAGGCAGCGCCAAACCGCTAAGCCACCAGGGCTGCCCAACTATACATTTCAAACATGAGATGTGACCTTGGCTTCCAGGGACTCAGCCTAGTGGGTAGGGGGAGAGACCCACTAGCAAATGGTTCATCCCAATACAGCATCCGGTGTGAGATGCTCAATATGAACTAGAGACAGTGGAGGGAGGGAATGTGTCTGGTGTCCTCAAGGAAGGTGTTTCAGAGATACTTAACCTGAGCCTTGAAATGTGAGTAGCAGTTTACTGGAGACAAGTGGAGCGGGGGGCAGGGTGGAGTCATTCCCAGCAGAGGAAATAGCATGTGCAAAGGCCCAGAAGTAGAAACTAGCTTGATATTCCAAGCACAGAGGGGGAAGGAGAAGATCCAGGCAGTGGACGCTAGTGGAGGCAGAGGTGATTCTGTAGACGTGGGGATGCAGAAGGCTGTTCTTAGCTAAAGCAGCTCATTCTTGAGCCCTGGTTTTCTTATCTGTAAGTTGGGAATCACCATGCTATGCAGAAGCAGTAATTCCCCACTAGTCCCACAACTTCAGTGCCTACTTGCCTGCCTGACTTCCATCTGCCAGCACCTACAATGTGAGAAATGACTGATTAGGGAAGAAGGCCTAATGGGTGTGAACTTGAGGAACGTGAATCTGGCAACAGTGGGCAGGGAGCCTGGAGGACAGAGAAAGGAGACAGGGAGTTTTAGGGAGTCGTGGTCACAATCCAGGTGGGAGGCTTCCAGAAGGCAAGGATGATTAAACCATGTCAGAACACAGTCTGTTCTGAGCCGTCTGAGAGAGAAAGAGGGGTCGAGGCTCTGAGGTTACCCAGGTGCCTGGGCGTACCGCAGAACCACCGACAGAAAGCTAGAAAGCAGGTGGCAGACAGGTGCATTCTGGACTCCAAAGCAAGGGGGGGCCGGCCCCAGGGGAGAGGAGCAGAGCTGGGGGCGGGGCACCAGGAAGGAGGGCGTGGTCCGCCGGCTCCAAAGAGCAGTGGTGGGGTGAGGTTGCCAAAAAAAAAAAAAAAAAAGGTTCTGGTTGACCATTTCACCCTAGTTCTTTTTTTTATTTGGAATATAATTTAGGGGAAAAGCGCATATATTAAGTGTACAGCTCCATAGCTCTCTACCTGTTTCTATACACCTGTGTAACCTCCACCTGATGAGAACATAGGCAACTGGCGGCACCCCAACAAGCTCCCTCAAGCCCCTTCCCATTCAACATTCCCCCACACCCATAACTACCCATAATGACGACGCAGGACACCACTCTTCTAGATTGTCTCAACAAGTGACCTGACTCTGGGGGACAGAGTCAAAGCAGGGAGTGGGAGGAGGCCGTGCACCCAGGAGGCTGACAAGAGGAGGAAGGCCCAGGCCAGTACCTACTTGGGTGGGCAGGTGGGAAGAAGTGGTTTTTGAGGGTCGAACCTGTATACAAGTATTTGGAGGCCAAAGAGCCCCTGAGGAGGGGGACAGATGACTGGCTGCAGCAGGTTGGGAAGGGAGGGGTAGAGGCACAAGGAGAACCTGGTCTGGGACAAAAGGAGGGGCAGGGCTTCCACCCAACTCATTTCCCCTGCAAAAAGCCCAGCTCCTCATACCACTGCGCTGCTCCCTCCTGGGCAGTGGCACACTGGCTCCATTCCTTCCTACAGTCCGCTGCCCCCCCAACCTCAGGCCTCCCGAAAGGAGTGGATGGGGGGGACCCCCGCAGCCTGCTGGGGGAGCGGGCTCCAGCAGCGCTTGAGCAAAGGGGAAAGCCTTCTACTTCAATATCCTCTCCGTCTGCCACTCCCCCATCTGTGCCCTAGTTGAGAGACAGATATGGGCATAGTTAGAGCTGAGAACGCCGCCGAGTCCTGCGTCACATCCTCCTTCCCAGAGCCTACCACACAGGAGCCCACAGGAACGAGTCAGTCAGTCCAAGGGATAAACACCTTCCAAGCCCTGGCTTGTGTGCCTCTGGCTCAAGCCACACTCCTCTGGGGACCTGTGGCCAGTGAGGGAGAAGGGTTCCAGGGTGCAAGATCCACGTTGCCATGGTGACACCAGTCCCCTTCTCCCTTCCTCCCTGCCACCTCTTCTTTCACCCTAGCCTCTCTCCAACATCATCTCTGTCCTCCCGACTGGGTGAGGCTGCATCCCGCAGCCTGCGAGGTTCAGGGAGCTGCCCAGCCCGGCTCGGCCTCACCCTCACTGAGGCTGGGCTGCCCACCCCCTCCCCGCCCCGAGGGAGAGGCTGCGGGGCTGGGGGAGCAGCCCCCGCCAGCTTCGGGGGTGAGCAGAGTGGAGAGCCGGCCCTGGGGCTCGGGGAGGCAGCCCGGGGACCCCTGCAGGCCCCTGGGGGAACAGCATGGCAGGTAATGACACCTCTGAGGCTTTTCATCCCAGCCTCTTCAAAGCACCTATGATTAAGGTGAGGCCCCTTTGAAGTGGTCCCATCCGGGTTTACCAGTCACTGTAGCTCCGAGGCTGACAGCCAGGCCTCTTGTTTCCTCTTCACCTCCCTCTCATTAAAGCCTCTCTGAGAAAGCCCTGAACCCCGCTTCCCTAGCTGCCTACCTGCCCCCGCTCCCACCTGCAGAGGACCTCCCCTGCTGGGCAGCAGCGCTCCAGGATAGTTGGCTGCAACCTGGGATTTTGTAGAGAATCTGAAACACATTCCTA